TTAAGGTTTTTTTTTTTTTTTCCTTCAATAGCATGAGCTATGTCATAAAATTAACTATCATTATTGTTTAGATGCCTTGCTTTTAACAGATGGAAACAAACTTAGGCTTATTAAGAAAGATAATTGTCATTGTTATTTTTTACACCTGATCTGTGCCTTTGGCTAATATGCAATCTTCATGTCCTTTCTATTACATTTTGAGTAGAGATTTTCAAAAAGCATTATTTTAAGATTATATCTGATTCTCAACTAGAACAAAATAAATAACGTGTGTTTGCACATATGACTATCTGAAAATAGATTTGATAAACATTCTACTGAGCTACTAGAATTGTGTACCTTCCATTTATGTCACTATTTATACATAAAATTCTATGCATACTTGTTTGTGTTTGCTACTAATATGGTCATTGATTGATTCCATAATACAAAAAGATTACCAAAATTATTTTCTCTTAAATTTTATTAATCTTTTCTTTCTAGTTAACTCTAAAGTGTATTATCAGAAACCCTAGATGTGAACTTTCTCTTTCAGTTAATTTTGTTGACTCTCAACATTTTTAAAGGGGTGAAATAAGTATAAACACACTGTATCATGTGTAAATAAAATGGTACCTGGGAAATTCATATTCTGAAACAGTGATTACTATTGATGGTTACTACTAAATATGTAATTGACTCAGTCTTAATTTCTACCAAAGTTCTTAGAATTTTCAAAGACCATTTTGAGCAAAATATGTGTAATAAGGAAATTTTTCCTAGCTCATTGCTAACACTGAATGGTAGCCTGGAAAATGCTGCTCTGAACATGATGCATTTTAATTTTCATTCTTTTTTTTTTCTTGTTAGGAACCTTTCCCTGAAATTAACAAAAGATGTTGATCAGGAAGCCAGGTGTTCCCATATCAGCCGAATGCCCAGCAGTCCATCTTCAGATTGGCCCCTGCAAAGTGTGGAAGAAAATGGAGGCATAGATTCTCTGCCTTTCAGACTGATGTTACAAGACTGTACTGCAGTGAAGACGTTATTATTAAAGATGAAGAGAGTTCTTCAAGAGGTAAAGGTTTACTCTAAGATTAATGTCTTTCATCACCTGTAGAGAGTGGTCTTTAGACCTAGGTGAACCCAGCTAATTATTAAGTAATTGAATGGCTTTGTACAGGGGTTAGGTATCTTCTTAGAGCTTAATTTTTCTCATATGTCAAAGGAAAGGTTTAGAGTTTTGGTTTAGAAGGTACTCTTCACCTCTAAAATTCTACGATTCTATAAAACAATTAAAAAAGACAAAAATAAATTAAGCCGGGACAGAATCAGGCAAGGAGAAAGGGGCATCAGCTTTTAAGTTATGTTTATATGTTATTATAAAGCTATTGAGAGAGGCCTATTTTATGTATTTAAATTTAATGATATTTGGCCTTTATTTATTTGATATCTGAGAAAAGTAATTTACATTACTTTTTTTTTGTCTCAATACTGTTCAATCAAGTAAAATGAACTTAAATATTTGATTGGTTTTGCTCAGTTGGATTTTGAGTTACTTAGAAAAATGCACAATGGGATTCTGTGAGCGTTTCCCCTTGGAATCAGCAATTCTTTATGATTCAAGCATATTTTTGACTGACATAATTATGATTTTTAAAAATTTCTTTAGAAAGTATACACACTAATTTTATTACATAGATAATATAAAGTGAAGTTCAGAAATTTTAAATGACTTTCCTCTAGTAAATGGTAAACTCAAGACACAAGCTTGAGATTTCTGACTCCAAATTTAGAGATGCTTTATAATACCTCATTATCTTTCTGGAGATTTGTCTTTTTCATAAGACATATTGATAAATAATATGAGAACTGGAAAGTGTTGCTATTTGAACAAGTCGATTCCGACTCATAGTGATCCCCCCTTGGGTTTCTGAGGTGGTATAACTACGGAAGTAGGTTGCCCCATCTTCCTTTCAAGGAGCGGTTGGTGGGTTTGAACCACCAGCCTTCTGGTTAGCAATCAAATGCCTTAGGCACTATGCCACCAGAGCTCTCTCTTGAAATGATGGTCATTAATATTTGTTTTTCTATTATTTTTCATGGGATCTCTGGTAACGTAGTACCTAAGGCATTTAACTGCTAACAAGAAGGCTGGAGTTCAAGCCCACCAGCCACTCCTCAGAAGGAAGATTGGGCAATCTACTTCTATAGTGATACCCCTCGGAACTCAAGGAGGAGTTGCTATGAGTCAGATCCTACTTGACAGCAACGAGTTTTTATTATTTTTTTAAAATTATTTTTCATTATAATGCT